GGGATCAGGACTGGAGTAAATGAAGGTTGTGTCGTCAGCAAATAGAATTGGTTTGAGGTGTTGGGAGGCATTTGGAAGGTCATTAATGTAGATGAGAAAGAGGAGAGGGCCAAGTATGCTGCCCTGGGGAACACCAATGTTGATGGGTAGGGTGGGAGAAATTGTATTATTCACAGAAACATATTGGAGCCTGTCAGTAAGGTAGGATTTGAGGTATTGTAGGGAGTGTCCTCTGACTCCATAATGATGTAATTTAAGAAGAAGGTTTTGGTGGTTGACAGTGTCAAAAGCTTTACGCAGGTCCACAAACAACCCACCAGAGAACTCATTTTTATCAAGAGCTGTATGAATCGAGTTAAGCATACTAATAAGTGCATCATTAGTGCTTTTTTTGGGTCTGAAGCCATATTGGCAAGGGCTAAGTATATTGAGTTTGGCTAGATATGAGTAAAGCTGCTTATAGATTAGTTTTTCAAAAATTTTTGACAAGTTTGGCAGGATAGATATAGGTCTGTAGTTGTTAACATCTGTGAGATTGCCACATTTGTGGACAGGCGTTCCTCTCGCTTTTTTTAGAATATCTGGGAAGGTTTGGAGTTCAAGTGACTTGTTGAAGAGCAAAGCAATAGCAGGGGCTAAAGATCTGGAGGCTTTTTTGTAAATTAAAGTTGGTATCTCCTCAAGGGCACCAGACTTGGTTTTTAAGGGAAAGGATTATCTCATTGACGTCAGTGGAATTAATAGGCTTTAGGTACAGAGACTGTGGATAGTTACCTGAAAGATAGTCATTAATGTCTGTACTGGAAGATGGAATATCATTTGCAAGGGATGAACCAATGGAAGAGAAGAACCTATTGAACTCAGTAGCAGAATCAGAGGCTGAAAGCTGACCATCGTTATTAGACAGGAGAGTCGGTTTGTTATTTAAAGACTTCTTTGATCCCAATATTTGAGAAATTGTTCTCCAAGTTTGTTTAATGTTGCTCTTTATTTGGGTAAATTTATCTTCGTAGTATTTAGTTTTGGCTCGTCTAATTGTCTTAGACAGCAATAATGAGTAATTCTTTGAGAATTCTTTGGAGACAATTCCTAACCTATACTTCTTCTCAAGGTCATGTTTTTTATTAATAGATTTAAGTATTCCCTTTGTAAGCCAGGGATTGTTAAGCCTTTTGGTTGTGACTTGTTTTGTAAGCATAGAACAGTGGGTATTATAAAGGCTAAGAGTTTTTTGAAGAAAAGATTGTACTGCAAGGTTCTCGGGGTTTGGCTAACCGTGAGTTTCATGTCCGGGGTGTGTCCTGCGTCCTGGCGGACAGCTGTCTCTGGTCATTCCTCTGTTCGCGGATTGGCTAGTCGTCGCTGACTTGTTTCGTTGGCTCTGCCGGATGTATGGACTTCTGGCCATGGACGTTCTTCGTGTCGGCGTGGTCTAGGCGTCACCCATTTTATGTGGCGCCCTTACCCGCCTGCGAGGCATTCGTTGGATGCTTTTCGCCAGGACTGGTCGAGATGTGGGTGCCTGTTCCTCTTCTCCCGGTCCAGCTGTTGCTTCGGATTCTGGCTCAGTTGCAGCCCATTCCCACAAGAGCAGTCCTTATGGTTCCTTGGTGGCCGGCCCAGCTTCTTTTCAGACGCTGCTTGATAGGTGTCCGAACCCGGGGCGTTTTCCTGCGGCTCCGCCTCTTTCGGCAGGTTGGATCGATCCTGTATGTGACTGGTTCGGCCTTCTCCTCAGCTCTTCGCATCTGGTATTTTGACGCGGGTATCACCATCTCTGTGGTGTTCAGGTGGCCTTGTTGACGGTGTCCCACCTGCGAGCTTCATCTTGGGACAGTATGACGTTCCTGGTGTTTCTATGCACTTTTTCTTGCTCTTTGTACGTTGTCTTCTCTTTCGCATCGGGTTGTCTTGTCCTTTCTTGGGTTTTTCTGGACTACAGTTATTTGTTGTTTTCTTACTGTTGCCTCGCTTTATGCGGCGCTGGCGGAGCCGCTCCGGCTTGTGTTCGGGGTGGACGTCACATCTGTCCTGTTTCGTACGCTTTCTCGTGTTTTGTTTCACCTCCGGCCTGCTCATGCGTCGCCTGCACCATCCTGGTCCTTGATCAGGGTGCCTTCTTATCTTCTCAGTTCGTGGTAGCCCCTTTGGTTCAGGTTTCTGCTCTTTGGTACTGGTGGTAGATTTGTACGTGTGCAGCCTTTCTCCGTCCTGGCGACGGTCGAGATGGCTGGTTTCCGGAGGGGTTCTTGGGTTATTGATGCTTGATTGGTTTGGCCGGGGGTGTGTCCTGTGTTGTCCGGTTGCGCTTTTTGCCGTTACCTATGTACCGTGTCTGGGGATGCGCTTTGGTTTGATCCGGTTCCCCTCGTTTCCCGGTTTCAGGGCTTGGGTCTTCCAGGTCGTCCGCAGAGTTTTTCAGTCCCTGCGGTCTGTCTTTGCGCCCATGCTGTTCGGACGTTTGCAGCTTTTGCTGCTGTGTTGGTGACGTCTAGGGCTTATTTCAGGTGCAGGGAATTGAGGGTCACACAGGTTCTTGGCCGCTCATTCTTTATTCGCGTCTGCTCCTGTGCTTTCTTGTTGCCTTGGGTCGCAGGTTGCATCCTGTTGTCTCGGCTTCGCGTTGCGGAGTTTGTGGCGGCCGCCTCCCGGGCTAGCCCTTTCTTTTCCTTCTCTTTGGGTATGAAGCTCCAGGGAGCCGTAGGGGCTCCCCAGAGAAAACCAGCGTTGAATGTAATGAAGCGCCATTTTCTGGGCGAGCCCTGGAGGCTCCCTGGCAACCCTCCCTCCCACTGGTCTGCGTTTTTTTCGCGTTGGTGACGCTTAGCTTCCGAACTGAAGCTTGGCAGCCGGCGCGGTAGGTCCAGGGCTTCCCCCTTTCCCCCTCGGGGTGGGGAGGGCTGCGCGGACGATCGGCGCGGCAGTAAAGTGTGATGTTTGCTTGTTTCCTTGGGAGTGTAGGGAGTTTCTACCTCTGTTCGGTTTTTTGTTTTAGTTTTTTTACCATGTGGGGTTTGTTTTGTCATGCCTACCTTTCTGGGTGCCTGACCCCGGTCAATGGCAGATAAGGAAAACCCTAACCACGAGGGTTTTCCAGGGCCATTGCTCCCTGAAACCTCTCTGAAGGGGCCAGGTTCTGGAGCTGGTCCCTGGTAGGTCTGAACTCCTTAGCTAATGTCCCGGTCTATTATAACGTACATTAGCCCAATAAGCTCCAGGGAGCCTCGGGCTCACCCAGAAAATGGCGTTTCATTACATTCAATGCTGGTTTTTTGCTGTAATATTATTCAATAGTGTGTAGTGTGATATATTTATATAATAAAATGAGTGAATCATCACTGTACTCAAAAATATGGTGTGCATATTGTTGATTCAATTATGTTCATCAAACAGTGAACAAATACTTTGTCGGTTATTACACTATATACACAGGTTATATACAAGTATCTGCATGTTTTGTTCACCATAACGAACCACTAAGTTGCTATTATGAGTCAAAAAGTAACAATGAGTGAACGCCACACACCAGCCAGCCACTCGCTCCCTCCCTCAACACCTCACTCGCCCACATTCTCCTCCCACCATACTTTTTTGCTTTTATTCACTATATACAGACGTTATATACAAGTATCTACATTTGTGTTCACCATAACGAACCACAAGGTTGACATGCTGAGTGGCAGTGGCAGCCCGCCACTGGCTGCCACTCCATCCCTCCCTCACCTCACCTGACTTGCCACCATTCTCCTCCCACCATACTGTTTTTGCTTTTATATACAGACGTTATATATAAGTATTTACATGTTTTGTTCACCATAACTGTACATCTAAGCTTGTATGGTGAGTAAAGGCACAAAGACTTAGCTACTCACATAGTCAGCTGGTGGCTGCCGCCCTCAAGGCCAGACGCACTAATATTTCTCCTCCAACAATACTGTTTGTGGTGTTATTATGCTATATACACACACAATATATATATATATATATCTACCTGTTTTATTCACCATGTTTGTACAAGTAAACGGGTATGGTGCCCAAGACCATCGTGGTCACCAGTAAACAACATAAGTTGTGCAGACGACGCCACCGCCCTCACCAAAATGGCAGCTCCCAACCTCCTACTCTTGTTGTTTATACCCTCTATACACACGTTATATATAAGTATCTACACATGTGTTGACCATAGCGAACCACTAAGCTGGTATGGTGAGTGCAATCAATAAATGGTGGCCACACACAGTCAGAAGACAACGCCACTACCCTCCCCTCCCACAGCATTACTCCTCCCTCCATGGAGCACAGTGCTAAATATCACCACAATCCTGCTATTATCAGAACCGTGGTCAGTTTTCTCAGTCAGGGGTCTTCTGTAATATCATCGCTACATAATAGCATGAACAAGTATATTATGGCATTTTTAGGTGATGCTGTGGTCCCAAGCTGAAGAGCAGTGCTGTGAGCTCATGCTGCGTGCATCAGGCTTGGTAGCTCACTCAATACTGAGGCCCCTAACACCCAGGAATTTGGCCCACGATTTAAAAAAAATGGCGTCTGTTTACAAGAGCCCTGATAAAGGTGTGGTAAACCTCCGTGTATCCGCGGGCCGTTTAAATCTTGCGTAGTACTCCAAAGCATCATATGATGCGATGCGCAATTTACTGTAAGTCGGTCAAAGCATCATATGATGCGATGCACAATTTAATGGTTGATTGTGAGTCGATAACAAGCCCAACTGTACTACTAGTTAGTGAATAGATTGATGGGTGGGTGTATCGGGTGGGAGGTGTGTGAGTGGTTAGGTCAGTGTGTGTTTGGTTCAAGTGCCTGCAGCTTTGTGAGTGCATGGGGCCAGCTGGTGGGTAGATAATTACAATGGCTGGTGGGTGTGGAATGCCTACAGTAACTTTCAATCTGGCTTCAGTAGTCTTGGTTGAAATTTAAATGCTGGCAATGAAGTATTTTGTATGTGAATCTTTACTTAAGTAATTTGTCCTGTACAGAGTCTCTGCTGGAGGAGCCTACGACGTGCCCCATTGTGGGGAACTACGAAGGGGTTCTGTCAGATGCCCCTGGCTATTGTGCACAACTATATTCTGATTGTGAGACTCCTCAGCTCATGTACTACACCGTCAGTGACTGCAGGAACACCACCTTTGTGTATGAGCGTAAGTACCCCAGCTTGTGAGATGCCTTCTGTAGTGACAAATGAAGTTCTTTATTCCTTCCTTTGACTCAATGTAACTCAGATTATATTAGTTTAAATAACAGTGTATCTCATAACTGCTTTTTGTTGCCTGCTTTGCTAAAAAAATAAAGATTAATTTTACTAACGTATCTGTATTTAATGTAATTTAGGTCTAGTATTGCAATACTGACCACTAACGAATTCCTTGATAAGTAGTTCAGTAGAAGTCAGGTGTGAAACTGATCAGTGCATGTATGTGTTGTGCGGGGAACAAGTGCTCTGTTTTGCAGGCGAAGACCTGCCAAGCCTGACGAGTGAGGCTGTGCCCTGGATGATGCCTGAGCAGAAAGTGAGCACGAGTGCTGTCCTCTCCATAGCTGACGATCAGGGTAGACGTGTCCGGAGGCAAGCGAGTATTGGTCAATTTCGTGTGGCCAATGCTCGCACAACCACCTTATCCTGGCTTTGGGGGACTCCTAGCACCCCTGATACTACCACTACCAGCTCTACGACTACAACCACCACCAAAAGGCCTTCTTCCCCAGTGGAACCATCCTGGACACACCTACCTCTTCCCCGCCCACCACCTGCCCATGCCGAGTCCTCCAGTGAAAGGAATGTTAATAGATATATTCCTGATTCAATCCTGGAGTCTCAGCACCAACCAGAACCACCTCGTCGAGATCGTGGCAGCTCTGTAGGGTTCTGGCCAAGTAATCAGAACCAGCCAGATACTGTTGTCCCCACACCACCAGTGATGCTCCCTGGACGCTTACCATTGGTAGTGCCTCCTGTACCCGAGAGGCAGATACCCGACATTGATGTCAACGCTGATTTGGCAGGAGTGCCAGGACGTGCCACATGGGTCCCAGGGACACCTCCAGGATTTCAGTCCACTTCATCTTCCACTCAGCAAACATATCTGAATGAAAATTCTCCAGAAGATTCCTTAACAGATGATCAATATTCAGCAGGACAACCGTCTTCACCTCATGGTTCCTTTCCTGCTATTGGCATTAACCGCCAACCAGTGGAGCAAAGTAGCCGCAGCAAGCTGCCCCTAAAGCAAGGTATGCAGGATGGGAAGGAGAGAGAGTATGCTTGGGACTACAGACACAAGTATCCTCCTGGACATTGGCTCACAGCTGGACCTCTAGAGAAGGTTTATGCAGATGTTAGCACCGAGCCTGACTCGTCTAACAGAGAGGCGGGAGGGGAACCTGCAAGGGGGTCCACACACGGCATGACAGACAGTGGGGACGTGCACAATGGTGGTGGTTCTGGACGGACGAAAGTCACCTCTCTTAAGGCATTTTGGCCTGGTGGTGGTGGTAACCAGGGCAGTGACCACACCTTCACTAGTAGTTCTGCACTTTCAGGTTTGGATAAACCTTTTGATGTAACATCCCCATTCCCTTCTGACTGGAGATCTTCTCTTAGTCCATCCCCTTCTCCTTCAACTCTATTCTCCTGGGAAAAAACTGAGAGCATGAACAGTATAAACCCAAATTCTAGCAACGAGGAACAGGTAAGAGATAGCATTAGGGAGCTTCATATACAAAATATAAGTAGCCAACCAAGTGGTGAAGGCTTTTGGTCATCTGCTACACAGACTGCTAGAAACCAGTCACTTTGGGATAGTAGGTGGAAGACACACAATAAAAGACATCCAGATGAATATTCACCTGCACCTTCCACTCCTGGACCAGTAGTAATCACTCACAGGGCTGTTATTAAACCAGTTCACACATTAGATTTCCACCCAGTAGCTTCTGATTACCACAGCACACTAAACACACACACTTCTGGAAGACCACAAGACATAAATTGGTCAAGAGATAAAGACAGAGTTCCCCTAAGCACAGAGCTTCATAACATGCTCGTGTATAGAGACAGAGGGGTCGGGAGGTCAACAGGACGTCACAGTGCATCTCACAGGGGCTCGAAAACTACTGACACTTCCTTTGTACACATCGGAGGTCCAGGCAAGTCAAACAGCAGAGCAGCAGCACCACCAGGGAACGGCGTCCCGGCACAACCCAGGAGGGTAGAAACCCTCGAATTCGACACAGGTACAGTGAGTTCCAAGATGCTTGGCAGTAGACTTAGAGCAGCACTGCATGTCTATCCTGTACCCTCACCCAGTCACCTGAGCACCACCACCCAACATCAGTATAGTGCTGCTGTCACCCCATCCCCACCACCTGCTTCTCGCTCAACTAAAACATGATTGGTGTAGGAATAGTAGTAGTAAAAAGATATTGTTCAGGCACTATAACCAGAAATGATTAAGAATTGCTAACTGATTAAGCTAGTAAATCATTGGGTATAAAATTAAACAGCATTGCTAATAATAATGTGGAAGCAGCATCGGTTGCACATGACAGCCACCTCGCCAGAACAGTCCCAGTTATCCTTCATCCCTCTATTTTGGATACTTTCCACTAGTGTAGAGGGACTCAGGGTCCATATTAAGAACATATTGTTTTTGGCGCTGGACCAGGAAGGTGGACGAAGCCAGATCAGAAGACGCCCTGAGAGCACCATGAACTTTGTTACATGCTAATTCGGTCCTCGCTTCCATAGACCTGCGTCCACCTACGCCTTTGGGGTCCATCTGGCTAACGGCACCATCTTTATTTCATTTTTAAACAAATAATCAGAGAATATATCATTTCTCTTAAGGGGCCCAGCGACGGTGCATTGAAATTTCCTTAACCCTCTAACTGCGCGGCCTATAAATATGACATCCCCCCAATGCGCAGGAAATGAAACCTTGGGAAAAAATAATTTTTTCCTCGGAAAAAACCCCTCCCTGTATATGGTTATAGCAACGCAAGTTCGAAATTGTACTTACTTTGGCTGCTATGGGGTCTGAAAGGTGGGCCGTGACGTCATAATTCCCCGTGTGCCAGAGCAGTATGCACCCGGGGCCGGTGGGGCGCCCAGGGCGGGGCGCGTGAGTTGCCGCGAATATATTTTTGCACATTTTTTGCACACAGTTCCAAATACATTTTTTTGTTTTTACATGCTAATCCTATGTATAATGAATACGTACACTATATTATGGCAGTAAAACATCCGTACTGTCCGAAGACACTGTGTTACGTGCATGACACTTGTGTACACATATGTTGCACATATTTACCATGTATCATGCTAATTTATGTATATATACAATCTATTTACAGACTATGCACTGTCACACACTATATACATTCACCATCAACACATTCAGAACACCGCAAGTGAGAGCAGCCACACCCACCCAGCCAGCCCTCCCTCCCTCCCTCACTCCAACATCTTACTCGCCAACATTGCTCCTCCCACCATACTGTTATTGTATTTATTACACAATTTACACACGTTATATATACCTATCTACATGTTTTATTTACCAGAACTATGCAAGTAAGCCTGTATTGTGTCCAAACAGTACAGTGGCCACCATACACTGCATGACAAATCACACAGCAGACGACGCCACGATTACGACGTCACCTCCCTCACCAAAATAGCTCCTCACAACATACTCCTGGTGCTGTTATTACACTATTCCACACACACACTGTATATACCCATGTACATGTGTGGTTCCCCATAGTGAACCACGAAGCTAGTATGGTGAGCAAAACAAGAGTTACTGCCACACAGTGAGGCTACCTTTATTCTCTTCCTTCCTCCCTCCCTCGCCAAAATTTCTCCTTCCTACGCACAACGCTCATTATAACCACAATACTGGTCACTAATACCTGTAAATGAATAATTGACCACAAGTTTATTTTGAAAAGGAACCTAAAAAGTCGTTTGAAGATTCCTAGATGGACGAAATAATGCTGTGGTGCTGTGGCTAACGCTGTGAACATCGTGAACAGCATTGAATCACTGATATTTGAACATTGTACCCAGTCATTATCACACTTGGGCTCTTCTATAATACTATCATGGCTAAATAAAACAGATTATATATATATTTTGACAATATTAGGCAATGCTGTGGTCACACACTGAACAGCAGTGCTGTGCGCCCATGCTGTGACACCCGGCAATGTGGACCATGATTTTTCTTTAAGATGGCGTCTGTTTACAAGACCCCTGAGGAAGCTGATGTGAACCCCATGTAGCCGCGGGAGTTTTGAATGGAATGTGAAAAATAAAAACACCCGAGGGCGCGTTGCGCACCCTAAGCCTGGGCCTGCAGGCGCGTTGCGCAGTTAAAGGGTTAAACGCGCGCGCACCTTTTTTTTTTTTTTTTTTTTTTTTTTTTTTTTTTTTTTTTTTTTTTTTTTTTTTTCCCCGCCTGTGGGTGTTAAATCCATTTGGGTCCCTAGCAGTTTGATGGTTAAGGGGTCCAGTGTGTTTTACAATTATCTCCAATGTATCCCTATATTTTGTTTTTTGAGGGGTTATTTTTCTCGACTTCATTTCAAAACATATCGACCTACAACTTTCACATATTCGAGTACATATGACAAGCAATCTTGTTTAAAACTTACAAGATATGTCAAATTCAAAGTACTATATATATTGTTGAGAACTTTAACTTCATTCTTCTCTATGAACAGAATTTTCAACTGACACATTGTCAAAAATTCAGTTTCTGACAGATTCTTACCATTTTTACATATTTGCAAAGTTCTAAGGTGTTCTTGTCGTCGTTTAGTCAAAGCCATAATGTTTAAAGTTATATGTTTTTTGAGTAAATTTTGCACATATTTGGATGGCCATATTGAAAAAATGTTTTACAGTAAACTATACTCTCAAACAATATTTTGCTACAAGAAACATGAATGTTATATGCCATTCTGAGACCATAATGAATAAAAATAACAATTGGTTACATAATATTTGAAACCAAATTTGAAATTGTTAATTTTTTTTTTTATTATTATATTGTAACTGTTTTTTGATCATGGTATGATGCTGATCCATTAGGAGGATTTACCATGTTATTACTATTTTTTTTTTTTTTTTTTTTTTTTTTTTTATAGTAATAACATGGTAAATCCTCCTAATGGATCAGCATCATACCATGATCAAAAAACAGTTACAAATATAATAATAAAAAAAAAATTAACAATTTCAAATTTGGTGTCAAAATATTATGTAACCAATTGTTATTTTTATTCATTATGGTCTCAGAATGGCATATAACATTCATGTTTCTTGTAGCAAAATATTGTTTGAGAGTATAGTTTACTGTAAAACATTTTTTCAATATGGCCATCCAAATATGTGCAAAATTTACTCAAAAAACATATAACTTTAAACATTATGGCTTTGACTAAACGACGACAAGAACACCTTAGAACTTTGCAAATATGTAAAAATGGTAAGAATCTGTCAGAAACTGAATTTTTGACAATGTGTCAGTTGAAAATTCTGTTCATAGAGAAGAATGAAGTTAAAGTTCTCAACAATATATATAGTACTTTGAATTTGACATATCTTGTAAGTTTTAAACAAGATTGCTTGTCATATGTACTCGAATATGTGAAAGTTGTAGGTCGATATGTTTTGAAATGAAGTCGAGAAAAATAACCCCTCAAAAAACAAAATATAGGGATACATTGGAGATAATTGTAAAACACAAAAAACCCAGCGTTGAATGTAATGAAACGCCATTTTTTGGGCGAGTCCCGGAGGCTCCCCAGAGCTATCCAAGCTAAATGGATATGTATAACTTTCTGGCATCAGTCAATGCATGGAGTTCTTGCCTACCGGGGACCACGAGCCAGAACCTGGCCTCCTCAGAGAGGCACGAGGAGCAATGGCCCATAGACCCCCCTTATGATTGGGAGCATTGTATGTCTGCCATCAACTGGGACAGGCACCCAGAAAGGTAGGCGCCCCCCAAAAAAAACCTATTCTGGTGAACTATTGTGACCGAAGACTGAACAGGTGGACAGAATTCCCCAAACAAAAATTAGCCCTCATGATGTCATCATGTCGCTGGGCTGCCGTCTGCGCAACCCCCCTCCCTCCCCGGAAGGGGGAAGGGGGGGAGCCCCAGACCCCACCGTCGGCAATCCAACCATTAGTTCTTAGGCTGGATGTCAAAAACGCGAAAAACTCCGCCGACCGGAGGGAGGGAGGGATGCCGGGATGCCGGGGAGTCTCCAGGACTCGCCCAGAAAATGGCGTTTCATTACATTACACGCTGGTTTTCTGGGGGGAGCCCCATCGGCTCCCCGGAGCTAACTACCCAAGGATAAGGAAAAAACCAGGGACTTACCCGGGCGGTGGTCTGTCCTCACTCCTCAACGCGAAGTCAAGACAACTGGCTGCAACCGCCAACCCAAAGCAACGCAGGCCCGACGAGGCCCAGGATCATTCCCTCATACAGGGTCAGGTAGCGAGCGGCCAGGACCCTGTTCGATCTCCAAAAACCCCAGGCCCGAATGTCCACCCAAGACATGTTGCCAAAGACAGCCGCCAAAGCAGCAAATTTGCGAACGTCGTGGGCCCGGGGAAAAACCACAGGCTGGCTACACTTAATAACCCTGCGGACAACCTGAGAGACCCGAGCCCGGGAACAGGGAAGAAGGGAAACTGGATCAACCCAGAGCTCATCCCCGGCAACAGAAGCTGTGGCGTGCAAATAACGGCGGAGAGCCGCAACCGGACACAACACATGATGCACCCCCAGCCTGACCAACCAAGCATCAACAACCCAAGGCCCCCTCCGGAATGCAGCAGTCTCATTCTTCGCCAGAAAAGAAGGAGACGGCTGCAAACGAACAAAACGACCACCAGGACCAAAAGAGCAGAAACCACGGCACCGGAGGAGAGCATGAAGCTCTCCAACCTGACCCCCGAGGCCAATGCCAACAGGAAAAGAGGCTTAGAAAAACAGTCCCGAACGGAAGGGGCCACAACAAACCGAGGCAGAGAGAGAAAAAAGAGCACCCGGTCCAAAGACCAAGACGGCTCAGGCGGTGCATGAGCAGGCCGGAGGTGAAACAACGCATGAGACAACTTGCGAAATGGGGCAGAAGTAACATCAACACCGAAAGCTAGCTGAAGCGGCTCTGCCAATGCCGCATGATACGAGGTGACAGTATTCAGCATAAGATGACGGTCCTGAAACAACCATGAGAGGACAGAACAACCCTATCAGAGACCGAAGAACACCGACACAGTGATAGGAAAAACTGGAAGGACCGCCAGGAAACATCATACTGCCGCCGAGATGCACGCAGGTGTGAGACAAACAACAAAGCCACTTGCACACCATACAAGGAATGATAAACCAAAGTCAAAAACACTAGATGTGAAGACTCGA